AAATATCGTTAAGACAAAATCCATATTTTAAAAGTATTCATTCACGAAAATAATGATATTCTTTACTAAAGAATCTTTAGTACTTTAATGATTTTGAAGTAAAAATACTTTTAATAAAGTATGATGAAAAAATTATAAAAATCTGATAATATTTAAATACGATAAAATCAAGATAAGAGATAAAGTATAGAGTATAGAGTGATAATAAGATTGGTATAATAAGTACATACAAGGCTTATTCCTGTACCCCCTTTCCAAAGCTCGAAAGTAGTTGAGAAACTCAGGAATCGGTATTTTGAAGGCTTCCAAAAGGCCGGCTTCTAAGAAGACATGGTATGTCATTTTGCTGAGTATAGCGTCACCTGTTTTGGACATTAAGTCGAATATAGGATAATCCCATTCTTGAATTCGAGATAACAGCGGATCTGTGGCCAACTCCTGCAAATCGTATACCATTCCACTCACTAAATACCTGCCGTGAGCGTCCAGTTGGGGGACTACAGGAGGCGGGGGCTCACAAAAAGGCCAGTTTTGCTGAAGCACTGGTGACTTGTCTATCAATACATTAGTCTTGGTTTGGTTACCGCAAAGAATGCATTTATTTGTTCTGTAATTATCATCATCTTTAGGGGCAATTGCCTTCTCATTGGAAACACTGTGTTTTGAAGACACAAACCGGGAATTGGTGTCAATACTAGTGCTCTCGTCGAGTGTGGCATCGCTACCACTCGGAGAGTCATTACTGCTGTCATAGTCTGAGGTGAGGTTAAGGCGCGGATAAAACTGCTTCTGTTGTGAACTGATCACTGAATTCTTCAAACAAATGCTATCATTTGCCTCGTCTTCAGTGGTCTCATTATCTGCTTCTCCCTCTGCCTCCCCTTCCGCTTCAAATTTTTGTTTTCTGTTAGCATAACTGTTGTCACTAATAGTCACAGAATATAAAAAGTGTTTTTCATGTTTCTCTCGACTGTGTTGTAAAGCAGCTAATGTTCCGATGGGTAGGGCTGTCGTCGAATATGATCTTCCCTTCAAAGGCATTGACATCGGACTACAAATCAAATCAATTCATTTATTTTAAAATTATAAAATATAACACATCATATTTAGATTTTTAATTGTAAAATTCATAATAAGTTTAAGCAACGTTTTTGATACAAAACAATCACTACAAATACGTTCAATAATCTACAATACAGTACTACAATGTGTTATCCTGAATCAACTGTGTTATCAAATGAAGTGAACATTTCATCCTATGATCAAACATGTGTTTATTCTTATTCTTAAAGAATCATGTTAAGTTTTGATAACAAACACCAAATAATAATCTTGTTTTAAATATGTTTTACAATGTGATGAAATGTGAGTTTATTGTGTATTGAGAGCAGACATACCTGGGCAGAGAGGGTGCAATAATACTGATTGGGCTTTGAGCTAAATTTCTAAAACTGGTGCTTCTCTTTCTGGAAGGTTCCGGCTCTAGAGTAGGCATTCCAGTGGCTGAAGTGGTTGTGGTCCAAGTGCTGGTCGACATACGTCTAAGAAGGCTGGGCGGAAGGTTGCGTTTTCCTCTCTATTGTGATTAGTTTAAGAATTTATAGAAATATAATTAAATACTTAATTAGAATTCATTTACTAAATAAGACTCCTATAACTGTTAAACATCATTTTCATTATAAAACCATTAAGAAATATTAAAGGATTAGATAAATAGAATTAGATATAAGTAGAGTTTGAAAGTACTGTACAAACTTTTGGCATATTTGAAGTTCTCTCTCCAATATAAGGATTCTCTTCAGAATCAGAACCAGAATTATTGAAGTCAACCAAAGCTATACTAATTCCGGTCGGTTTTGTGCGGGGACTGGACGCTAGACTGGGAGGAGATAGTAATGAAGCCAAGGCTCGTAATCCACTTGTGATATGAGGCGGTAATTGAGAGTCAGTCAACATATCGGTCACTATTCCGTGCGCTTCGGCTAATATCGCGCCGTCGACTGAAGCTATGGAAGACTGGAATCAAATGAAATAAATATATTTTTATTATTATTCACTTTATATTCAATTATTAAACTTTAAATTCATACACTATTTATAGAATTACAGTAATGTACTATTTTAGAAATATAGATATCAAAATAAATCTAAAAGTTTGTCAATTATGACAAACAACATGATATTAAATGATAAGATCTGACAATACAGATGTAATGTCAAGCCACGATGACCTGGAATAAAATTTAATAAGATATGTTCTTATGTATATCCCAAGCGTTTGTTCAATAAAACTACAATATATTACTTTTATATTTGTTTTATTATAAAACAAATAACTCAAACTAAACAAATATTGAGGCGCTTCCCTATAGAGTAGACTCGGGCTCCGACTAAATAAATGTTTGTGAAACTGAATTTATGAGCTGATAGTGAGTGATATATACATTAAGCAAACAGTTATCTGTATTAATAACTGAACTCTTTTAACAGAATATTATAAAAATAAAAAACAAATTTCAATTTACTATT